TTTTTGTCGAGATTGATGTGAGCTCCGTATCTTGTTAAGATGCCAAGGTAACCTCTATGATTTCTCCTTGGTGCTATATTTCTTGTACTTTTCAAATTAATTGCATGGTTTTAGCTGGCCGGTAGCAAGGTTTGTGCGGCGCATAGTGAAGTGTGCTTTCAGTCTCTGTAATATGCTTGTTTCTTTATTGATAGATAGTACCAGTCGGTGTTGCTGTTGTTCTCTGGACTGTATTTAAAGCTCGAAACAAAGTTTAATTTTTTTGGTATGTATCATTATGCCTCAGGATCCACTAAGTATAATAAGAACTCTGTAATAGGACGCCTTCCATTCCATGGAAACTGGCCGTGCATATCTAATATGACCAGGATATCTTGTCTTGTTCAGTTTAGGTAAACTTCATATGCGGGTGCAGGCTCACTTGGTTTCTGAGCTAGATCAGCTCATCATATATTCTTTTGCGATATATGTCTTGAAGTTTTCTACTAACATGCCCTACAATTTTGCCAGTTTGTACGTGGGATGAATCCTGCCTGCAGGTACTTATCTGATTTGATCCTTATTAGCACATCTGTCCCTGATTTGATCTTTTATTTACTCCTTTGGTCCTCCTTTAGTCATCCATCTTTGGTCATTTTTTTCTTGAGCAAGCTATCGCTAAGTTTTGTGTTGGATCTCAGGCCCTGAAACACAACACAATCACGTGGATTTGTGAGCCAAGCTCTAAAACTCTCTCTGACAGAAAACTGACGAATAGCAACACACAGAGAAACAGGTTTTTGCGATGCGCTCAACACCTACGTCCTTTTCGGGTTTCTCCTTTTATTCATGGGAACCGAAGATCTTGCCCACGATCCATCACTCCCGTGCCATCCCACGGACGCGATCGTGGCCAAAGTCCTCGCATTGATTCTAGTCTAGCTAACTGCAAGATAAACTAGCCTTAGACTTGGACAAAGCCGCAACATGTACACAGCAAGTCTTGGGCATTATTTATTACTCCCTCCGTAAATTAATATAAGTGTTTAGAACACTACTTTAGTGATCTAAACACTCTTAGATTAGTTTACAGAGTGAGTACAAAAGTAACAATAAATTGGAGCCTGATCGGTTCAGGCACATCGCGATTAATTGGCAACACTGTTGTGCTAGTCTTTTGGACAAAAGCTAAACACCCTTGGATAAAAGGAGTTTGTGGATTTGAAAAACTGTCATGCATTCGAAGAAAAGTCATGGATTCGGCAAAAGTTTGCTGATTTGAAAAAAGTTCACGAATGTAAGAAAATGTTGACGAATTTAGAAAAATGTTAATGAATTTAAGAAAAAATTCATTATTATAAGAAAGTTCACGAATCTAAAAAAAGAAAAGACAATAAAAAGGGATAGAGAAAGAGAAAAAACTAAATAAAGAAAAGAAGAAACAGCCAAACAAAACCAGAAAAAAGAAAGAAAACCATACAGGGAAACTGCTGCATTTAATTTGACGCACAACTAGAAGAAAAAGAAGTAAATAGGTACAGCTAGTAAGCTGTCTCAGTTGGTTACTGCGGTTTGAACCAAACCAAGAGGTTTGGAGTTTTTTTTTTTTGAGCATCAATACAGACACAAGCGCTCATATACACGCGCATATACTCATCCCTATGAACGCACACACGCACACCCTATCCCTATGAGCACCTCCGAGAGACTGAGCCGGCATATCATCTTGAGATTTACGAAGTCACCGTAGGCACCTCGTCGTCGACGGGAACGTCTCCTCTCACTGAAAGCGCATCGCCGGAAATCCTGAAATAAATCCAGAAATAATGCGAGCACCAGAATTTGAACCCTGGTGGGTTGGGAATACCACTGTCCACCTAACCATCTCAACCACAGGTTGGTTCGCAAGAGGTTTGGAGTTGGATTCTCACGTTGGACACCCATTTTTTAAAGGCAAAAAGAAAGGAAAATAAAAATAAATGGGTCAGCCCAGTTTGTAGTGGAGTGTGCGCCGGTTTACGGAATGACCTATAACAGGGGGAGCTCCTATTGAGCGCTGTAGGCGCCGCTTCGTGTCGCTGGCGCTCGCACGGACACGAAGTGGGCCGGCCCAGCAACGTGCTACAAAGCAAAAGGAGAATGCA